TAGTGCACTTGCTATGCATCAAGAATTGCTGAGACCTTGTCACCACGTTTGTGATACGGAGCTCTTGTGATGGTAACAGTGTCCAGTCATAGCATTGCAGGTATTACCACAAGGTGTGTGTACATAGGCCCCCATCTCTGCCTGGACTGTAGAGGGGCTTCTAAAAAGAGGAGCCAGTAGAAATAAATCTAATAGGAGCCTCCGAACAAACAGAGACACATGTCCCAAAGACAGCAGACTGAGTGGCATATGTGCTTTTAGGTGGCAAGACTCACAAGTCCAAGGGCTAACAGGCTCAGAATCATTGAAAAGCCTGGCTCTTGGGATACTGTTAGGGCCTATCCTTTCACCTCAGTGTCTCTCAGGGGAAAGGGTAGATCCAGCCTTCTCCCTAACACCTTGCCAGCCCTGACACTGTATGGAAAATTGTTATGTACAGCTATAGCATTGGTCTCATGGCTATGTGTAATGCCAGGGTACATGGTGTTTTATGTCAACACGCTGCTACCTTTGAAGTCTTTTTGAGGTTCCAGCATCATATGGAATGGGTAAAAGGTCAGAGGGAGGCAGGTAGTAGCAGACACTGCCTCTCCTTGGGTCTAGCTTCAGTTATCTTTGCCACTCCCACTCCTAGGCCAGAGTTTTGTGTGTACCCTGAGATCTTTTCACCAGCAAGTTTAATTTTGGAGTTCTAATATGTATTTTAAATTGTGATTAATAATCTATCCAGTATTGTCAGACATTTGTAAGGACTGGTTTCCAAGTTACTGGCTTAGCCATCTTGCTAGCACTGAGTTAGGTTGGCAGGCAGGAGGCTCAAGGAGCCCAAACTGACATGTGTCTGCATATTAGTTTTCCAAAGGAGTGATACTCACCTCACCTTGAAAGTGTTCTTCTCTCCTGTCACATAAAGAATGCATTAGGTTGGAACTGCATGTAATTAGCTGAAGCTTAATTACAAACTTGTTTTTAGAACTTCAGATGTCTTCTTTTTAAAAATATTTATTTTGAGGGGCTGGAGAGATGGCTCAGTGGTTAAGAACACTGGTTGTTCTTACAGAAGACCCGGGTTCGAATCCCAGCACCCACATGGCAGCTAACAACTGTCCGTAACTACAGTCCCAGAGGATCCGACAGCCTCTTCTGACCTCTGCAGGTATTGCACGACACGGGTGCACTTACCTACATGTAGGTAATACATGCATACCATAAAATAAAAATAATAAATAAATTTTTTATAAAGTTAAAAATACATATATACATTTATTATTTTTATGTGTATGCGTATATTGCCTGCCATGTGTATGTCGTTCAGTGCCAAGGAGGTCAGAAGAGGACATTGAATTCCCCTGGAACTGGAGTTACAGACAGTTGTTAGCCAATCCAACCCTCCCAGAGATGTAGCAAACCGTGGTTCCTTCTAGGGTGAAGAAGAATCTTAGAGACTTGATTGCCCCCAGGGATGAATAGGTAGGAATGTGGATTCCAGAAGCACAGGATGACATTTGCACCCCTAATCTTGATCTCAAAGCCTGTGCTTGAACCATTATATCATTTTGGTGAACAAATACTGTGAGCTTGGTGCTGTAACAGAGGCACCAGAAACAAGATCTTTGCCTACCATAAGCCCTCTTCACCAACCCTGTGATCTACAGAGATGTGGTAGGTGTTCCTGTGAGCTGAGGTGGAAGGGCCACCCAGGCCACATGCTAATATTACTGCTGTTTTGTGTACCAGAGGCTGGTATGTAACACTGAGCTGAGGGACATTAGGGACTTTGTATATGTGGCATGCCTGATAAAAAGTAAGTTGTTGACCACTGCAACTGAGCCAGTAGCACATGAGAGTTACACACCTTCCCAGCCTAGCTGGAAAGTTCAGCTACTCCCCTCTGGGATGTTAATACACTGGTGTGTGCCTCAGTTTAAGGTACACATTGCCTGAAACCATAGTTAGTGTAAAGCTCTTCCTATGTGTTTTGCTATGCCATTGTGTTTAGATAAACTAAGTGAAAATCAGAATAAGATTCTTTCATTCCTTTCCCCTGATGAAGAGGAAAATAATTCCCTGTGTAGCCAGCATCCCTGATTATCTGCAAGAGGATTAGAAGCAATAATTCTCACTGAACCTTGTATGCTGAGTGCTGGTTTTGAACATTTTCCAAAAAGAGGGTAGGTAAACGTTTGGAGCTGTTCATTGTTAGCACTGTGAACTATCTTACAAGCATTTACCTTTGTGCTGAAAGTATGTGGAAAGCTGATTGATACTCATCATTGTTGATAATAAGACTAGAAGAGGGAAAAGTTTTCTTTAAATGACGCTAGACAGGTTAACCAGGCTCTCATGGATGGATGCACACTGAAAGACATTTGGGGACACAAACTTGGCTCAATGGGCCTTAACATATTTAAGAATATATAAAATAGATAAAATCGAGGGTGGAGTAGGCTATAAAAGGGGTATAGGTAAGGGAGGAGTCCTGAATATGGTTAAGATATTTTGTATGAAATTTGCAAAATTTCAATAAAAAAAGGTTGTGTGTGTGTATAAAACCAGAAGCAATTTGCAAAAATTCAATTAAAAAGAATTAAAAAGTGTGTGTGTGTGTGTGTGTGTGTGTGTGTGTGTGTGTTTGTGTGTGTGTGTGTGTGTAAAGCCAGAAGCAACCGCAGAGATGTTGGACTTCTGAGCTAAATGCAGTACTTCATGCTGGGGTTCTGGACGGCAGTTTTCAGAGTGAACAGTAGGTGCAACGTTAGTGTCCAAGCAGGAGAAAGCAAGGGAGTTTTCTGTGCCATGTGAGTACAGGTTACATGGACCAGCCATGTAGGAAGAAGTCCACCAGTTGGCTCCTACGGTGAGGGAATTTCTACTTTTCATTTATAGAGGGCTGTCCATTCTGCGCTTGGAAAGATGAGCTTATTTAGGGAATGCTCCTGTTTGCTTGCATTGATAGCCTCTTCCTGCCTGTCCACTCTCCACCATTGATGTGTCTAGGTGTTGCCTCAGTCTACACTGTGACCACAGATTAGAAAGACACAGGACAGGTGTGACTGGAAACAGGTGACACTGCTCTTTTTGGGGGCTTTCTTTTTCTTTCTTTTTTTTCAATTAAAAAAATTGTATTTACTTAGAAGCGTTCAGAATGTCAACAAAACAGCTGCATTTTTTTTTGCAATTACAAATCATTCAGTTAACAGAACAATTATTTTCATATAAGCTGTATCAGAGACAACTGAAGATGAAAAAAACTACCCCCCCATATATAACTAATTTGTGCTGTGCACCAAGAACCTGCTTTAAATTTCCATGCCAATTTACAACCCCCATACTAGACAAGGTTAGTAGCTACTGAAAATACCACCAGGACAGGGACATCTAAAGACACATTTGGTAGTGTGTTAACTATACAAAAAAAGATGCTGTACAGTTTAAAAACAAATCTTACACAGCCTTACATTTCAATTTTTTTTTTTTTTTTTATCTTTTTGAGACAGGGTCTCCCTGTAGCCCCACCTGTCCTGGAACTCACTATGTAGACCAGGCTGGCCTTGAACTCACAGAGATCCGCCTGCCTCTGCCTCCCAAGTGCTGGGATCAAAGGCATGTACTACTATGCCTGGCACATTTCAAAATTTTTCTTTCCTTTTTTTTTTTTTTTTTTTCAGTTCTTTTCTTTAAAAGGAGTGAGTTGTATACGGGGGTTAAATGCTTTATAGACAAGAAAAAAACTGCGCTAGAACAAACTTATTCATCATCATCTTCTTCATCTTCATCTTCCTCCTCTTCCTTCTTTTTCTTGCTCTTTTCAGCCTTGACAGCCCCCTTTTTTGCAGCATCAGGTTTTCCTTTAGCTCTGTAGGCAGCAGTATCCTTTTCATATTTCTCCTTCGGCTGGCGGCCTTCTCATAAGGCTGCTTGTCATCTGCAGTGGTGTTGTGTCCCATCTCTCCCGGTTTCTTTGCAGCATCACCAATAGATAAGCCCGGATGCTCTCCTTTGATTTCGGGGCGATACTCAGAACAGAACAAGAAGAAAGCTAAAGGAGACCTCTTGGGTGCATTGGGATCTTTGAACTTCTTTTTTGTTTCCCCTTTAGGAGCGATAGAGGTTTTCATTTCTCTCTCATAACGAGCCTTTATGATGTCTTCAAACTTTCCTTTTTCTTTAGTGCTCCACCTCTGTGAGCACTTCTTGGAAAACTCTGAGAAGTTGACGGAAGTATCAGGTGCTTCTTCTTGTGCTCCTCCCGGCAAGTTTGCACAAATGATGCATATGATGGCATTTTGCCTCTCGGCTTCTTAGGCTCTCTTTTGCCCTGTTTAGTTGTTTTCCTCAGCGAGGCACAGAGTCGCCCAGTGCCCGTCTGGCTCTCACTTGTGCCGGTGCTGTCTCTATCTAGGGCTTTCTTACTGAGTATTCAGTAGCTTGTTGTGTAAGTGATTTTCACATTATTGTAATCAAATATCTGACAGAAACAACATAAAGTGGTAGGGACTTAATTTGCCTCAGTTTCAGAGGGTATCAGTTCATTGTGGCTGGGAAGGTGAGAACATGATACAGTAGCTGTTCACATTGTGATGGACCAGAAAGCAGAGAACCAGCCAGAACTAGAAGCCAGGCTATAACTAATCAATAGCCTTCTCCTGGTAACCTACTTCTAGCTAGTCAGGCTGTACCTCCTAAAAGTTCCACAGCCTTCCCCAAATGGGTACCATAAACCATAAACGGGTACCCAAAACATGAGCAAATTTGAACTGTGACTCCTGTCATTGGTCACTTATAAAACACATGTCTTGCCAGGCATGGTGGTACATGCCTTTAATCCCAGCACTCAGGAGGCAGAGGCAGGTGGATCTCTTGTGAGTTCAAGGCCAGCCTGATCTACATAGTAAGTTCCAGGCCAGCTAGGGCTACAGGGAGACCCTGTCTCAAAAAGACCAAATAGTAATAATAATAAATATTTTTAATTAAAAAAAATTAAAACACATGTCTTATAGCAACCGTGGCAGCCATGTACTACAGCTACTACATGTTGCCAGATGGCACCTATTGCCTGGCACCACCCCCACCTGGGATCGATGTAACCACTTACTACAGCACCCTTCCAGCCGGAGTGACCGTGTCCAGCTCACCTGGAGTGACCACCACTGCACTACCACCTTCTGGGACCACACCCCCACCACCAACCACCACCACTGAAACAAGCAGTGGGGTTACCTCCACAACCACCACCACAAGGTATGTGTGTCACTTGCTCAGCATGACAGTTGCTGTGGTACATTTGTGTTCTTAAAATCAGGTGTAGTAGCCAGGTATGGTGGCGCACGCCTGTAGTCCCAGCACTTGGGAGGCAGAGGCAGGCGGATCTCTGTGAGTTCAAGGCCAGCCTGGTCTGTATAGTGAGTTCCAGGACAGCTGGGGCTACAGGGAGACCCTGTCTCAAAAAGACCAAAAAAAAAAAATCAGGTGTAATGCCACATGCCCTGTATTTTTGACTCTTGGAAGGCTGAGTCAGGAGGATTAAAAGTTTGAGACCAGGTAGGTATGGTGTTCCATGCCTATAATCCCAGCACTGGGGAGGTAAAGGCAGGAGGATCAGGAGTTCAAGGTCATCCTTAGCTACATAATCAAGGCCAACCTGGGCTACAGAGCAAGGCTCCATTTCAGTACCAAAAAAGTTTTTAGCAGTGAAGTCTAGCCATGTGTAAATGTGGCTCTTAGACAATATCCTGTACCTGCTCCTTAATTCTAGGGCTGCTCTTATGTACCATGTGTCAACACTTCAGCCTGCCACTATTAGGCAGAATCCTAGTGAGATGAGGCTGAAGGTGTTGGCAAAGTTCACAGGGTTTCATATAGTTGGTGAGGGTGTTCTTGAGGCACACTTTGAGATCTCACCATTCATGTAATTAGGATCTGGTGGAAAAGCCAGAGTGACAGACAGGAGTGTTTGATATGTCTATGAAAGGCACTCTGTGCATGTGTCTCACTTCTAACATAGACTCGAACATTTTGACTAAAGCCTCGTTTTCTGATAATGCTGAGAAAGTCAGCCATGTGGGCTAGGGATGTAGCTCAGTGGTAGAACACTTGCCTAGCATGTGGGAGGAACTGGGGGATGACAACACCAGATGCATCTCTGAGAAACACAAAGTGAGGGATGTTTAGTCATGCTTCACAACTCTGTTTTTAATGTGAAGAAAAATCAACATGTAGGCCAGGCATAGTGGTGCACACCTTTAATCCCAGCACTCAGGAGGCAGAGACAAGGTAGATCTCTGAGATTTAAAAAACAAAACAAAATGGGCTGGAGAGATAGCTTAGCAGTTAAAAGCACTGGCTGTTCTTGCAGAAAACCTGGGTTCAAATCCCAGCACCCACATGGTGGCTGACAGCTGTCTATAATTCCAGTTTTAGGGGATCTGACACGCTCTTCTGTCTTCCACAGGCATTGCATGACACAAGTGCACTTACATGCATGCAGGCAAAACACTCATACATAAAATAAATAAAATAGTTTTTAAAAACAAGACAAGAATTAGCTCATAGTTGAAGGAAGAATGGGCCTATTTCTATGATTTTGGGTCTCATTCTTTAGTAAATCCCTCATTGTCACTTTTTTTTCTTTTTTTCCTTTTTGAGATAGGGTCTCAAAACTGGCCTGGACTCACTGTGGAGACCAGACTGGCCTCTGTCTCATGGAGATCTGCCTGCCTCTGCCTCCTGAGTGCTGGAATTAAAGGTGTGCACCACCAGGCATATGTCCTATCTTTGTTTTGTTTTTTGTTTTTGTTTTTTTTGAGACAGGGTCTCCCTGTAGCTCTAGCTGGCCTGGAACTCACTATGTAGACCAGGCTGGCCTCGAACTCACAGTGTTGGGATCAAAGGCATGTGCCACCATGCCCAGCATTTTTTTTTTTTTTTTAAAGGCAGGAACTCACTGTGTAGCCCAGCTCCTGAATGATGGGATCATACACCTGCAACACACCTTACCACCCTGCATTATCACTTTTCTTATTTTTTGTGTTTGGTGTGTGTATGTTGTTTATCTTGTTTTGTTTTTTGAGGCAGGGTCACTATATGGCCCAGACTTTCAAATGCTGGGGTTGCAAGTCTATCCCACACCTACCTAGCTTTCGCACATTTTCACTGTGGTGCCCTGGACTCTTCTCTGAGTGCACTAGCACTGGCTGTATTGTCTTTATACCAAGAGCCTTCTTCCTGCGTTGTTGGTGACTTCCTGTTTATGTGACTGAGCCTGGAAGGACCCTCCAGAAGCCAGTGCCAAGTTTGAGCCTTGCTCAGTGCAGGGTTGCTTACCAGCTCTTCTCCACAGTGCGCTTGCTCCCGTGGCCATCATCCCCCCGCCCCCCGACATCCAGCCTGTGATCGATAAACTGGCAGAATACGTCGCTAGGAATGGCCTTAAATTTGAGACCAGTGTTCGAGCCAAGAACGATCAGAGGTGAGGAGAAGAGGTTTAAGCATTGGGCTGGGGCATGGTTCAGTGGCAGAGCATTTAAATCTAGCAACATCATTAGGTTCCCCGCCCCCCAAGTGTCCTTAAATAGATACATTTTTGCTCTCTTGTTAAATTAGAGTTGGGAAGGTATTTTTTGTTTTGTTTTGTTTACCATGGAATAGAATGTAAATGCTCAAAAGACTGGAATTCGTGCTTCTTAAAGAAAACCCTTCCCTTTCTGAATCAAACTGTCCCCTGCCACCAGCAGTGCACATAAGCAAGGCTTGTGTTTTCACTGTGTGATGTAGCTCTCGATGGGCAGATTAGCCCTCTATCCCAGTCTCTGTCATGCATAATTAGGTTGGGGCTGAAGCCAGATGGGCTCTACAGGGTTGTTGAGATGATTAGTCTCTATGAGGTATCCAGGACAGTGCAGGCCACATGTGAAGCCACTGCAGCCTACATGTAAGTTGTGCTGAGTTCAGTGGGTTCTCTGTTCACAGATTTGAGTTCCTTCAGCCCTGGCACCAGTACAATGCCTACTACGAGTTTAAGAAACAGTTCTTCCTGCAGAAAGAAGGAAGCAGTGGCATACAGGTACGGGCATAAAGATGGGGAGGGCATAGATCAGGCTCAGGTTACAGGTGCAAAAGTAGCTTCCTCGTTATTCTCAGGTGTATGAAAGGGTTTCTCAAGTCTACACTGAATCAAACTTGACCCTCTCAGAGATGAAGCTTGTCTTAGATCTGCTGAAATGACCACTCACTTGTGCTTGGTGACCATTTGTCTAGCATGTTCCAAACAAACAAAAATCAACAGGTGTTTTGGTTAACTACTGCTTTTGACTATATTGGGGTGGGGGTGGGGGCTTGAGATTAGTCTTCAGCTCCTGATCCTCCTTCCTCACCTCCTAAGTGCTAGAATTACAGGTGTGCCCACCATGCCTACCTTACTTTTGACTACTTTAAAGGAAGACTGCGTACTGTAACGTGCTTTGTTTGTACTTGCTAGAGCTGCTCAGATCCCACGAGGGTAGGGCTGTGCCCTGCCCTCCTTGTGCAGTCCCCTGCATGGCTTTCTTGTACCGCAGGAAGTATTTCATCCCATCTCTCTCATCCTGTCTGGCTTGGACACCCAGATATTCCTTTTGAGTTTATCTTGATAGAAATAACTTTCCATAGCTTGCTCATCTGTAGACAGTTGGTGACTGTATTCTAAAGATATTCTCAACAGCCAGGCTTCAAAGAAAAGGTACTGAAGACTAATGTGTAAACAGATCAGCACCTTGGAAGGTACAGTGCTCTTCAGGGAGGAATCTCCTTGTAGTCTTCCAGTCTGTTGTATCAGGATGTGTAAGTAGATTTAGCTCAGTGGCAGAGTACTTGCCTAGCATACATGAGGCCCTAGGTTCACTCTCCAGTAACACACACACACACACACACACACACCACCCACCACCACCACCACCACCCAAGAAAATAGTCCAAATTTGAAATGTGGAAGTGATGCTGTCTGGTAGGTTGTGGGATGGGGTGTTTTCTTTGTTTTGTTGTACTTTTTGAGACTACCTCAAGTAGCACAGGCTAGCCTCAAACTCACTATGTGGCTAAGGATGACCTTGAACTCCTGATCTTCCACTTCTGAGTGCTGGAATTATAGGCATATGCCATGGAATGTTTTTGGCAAACCCAATGTGAGTCTCATGTAAGAGTGTACAGTGGTGTCTGTCTCTCCAGGTGGCGTCAACACCGGAAGAGGCTCCTATGGAAACTACTGCTAATAAGTCAAGTGAAACTGGGGAGGATGGCACACCTGAGGATGTGGCAGAGGCTGGGGGAAGAGGCAGTTCAAGCGGGAAGAAGGAGGCAGGATCTAGCAAGAGCACCGTGGACGGAAAGCTGGTGAAAGGTGCGCTATCCAGGTGAAGCCTAGGCCTTATGGGCTTCCTTCCTAAGGGTTGGGACTAAGTACCTTAGCCATGGGGTACTATGAGATTGGCTCCTCCAGCTGCTAGTATCAAATATGCTCACTTTGCCCTTCTCTGTCTTGGTGTCGGGATCCCTAGCGATCTGTTAACTTGACAGCCTGTTCTGAGCCATTGGAACATGTTTATAAATTTTCTGATGTTTTGTCCTCCCCTAGACTTCTGAAACTGTTTGATTGTTTGTTTGTGGTAGTGGGGATTTTACCCAGGGCTCACACATACTGGGCAAGTAGTCTACACTGAGCTCCACCCCCAGCTTCTGTGTAAACTACTATACAGTGAAGTTCATTTTCTTTGTCGAAGTGGCTCCCTTGAGCACCTCTGCCAGGCAATGCTGTACTCACTCATATTTGGTCTCCTTGCTCTGTCCCTGACTGGAAGATTTAGTCTAACAGGACAGGCATATGTAAGTGACTGGCACAGTAGATGACAGAAGGAGGAAAACCTGCCCAGAGGCTGGGTAGCAGGGCCCTGTGAAAAAGAACATGAAGAAGCAATTACTTCCACCTGTTGGGAGAAAGATGTGTAGAAAAGGGTATTGGGCAGGGTGTTCAAGATGAATGGGGTCCCTGCTGTGGTATGTGCTGGCTGTGTCACTGCCATAAGATGTTAGCTGGTCTGAGCATGGCTCAGGTGGATATGGCCTGTACACAGTCTGGAGAGGTGCTGGCCAACTTCTGGTGCTTTGTTTCCCCTGACATCTGGGGTCTCTGGGAGATGGCTTTATCCAAACAGTGGCTTTTTGAGATTCAGAAAGAAGGTTTGGGCTTTGGTGGCACAATGACTGGAAGGGAAATGCAGGAGTGGTAGAAGTAGAAGCACATAAGTCTGCAGCTCCTGGGGAGAAAAAAATGGCAACTGCTGGTGGCAGGAATGCCTGCCCATAGTAGAGGCCTCTCTGATAGAAATGGTTCAGAATAATCCAGCTGTCTCTAGGAAGGAACTTTTAGAAAGTCACCAGACTGGCTGCCTTCAGCTCTCCCTGAAATAAGCAAAGGCACAGACTGGGCAAAGAAAGCAACAGCTTCTACTCCAGAAACTGTTTTGAGAGGCTATTCCATGTTAGAAGGACAAGCAGCATACCTAAAACTTATTTCATAGGAGGAGGAAAGACACCTTAAGACAGTGATCTCAGCCAGAAAAATTCATTGTCAACAAAAAGGAGACAGGAAGCAGGGACAAGCTAGGGAATACTCCATGGGGCAGCTGTACCTGCCTACCTGTCAATATTCCCCCTAGCAGGGGAAGCCGTACACATAGGTTAGCCTGAGAAGTGAGAACAAAAATGCATAGTGTTTGACAACGTTCCTCCCAGCAATGAGACGTGGAAGAGCCCAGGACTGCCCCTGTGTGAGGTTCAGAACACAAAAACATGACCCTACCAAGATGTAGAGGCTCAGAAGATAACAGCCCATGGTATCTCTGAGGCAGACTCCTAAGTAAAGGGACAGGTTCTTAAATCTTTACATTCAGTCAAGTTGAGAATATTATAAAACTTAGGCAGCTGATAATCTGACATTTCCAGAAGCTTGCTCAGAAATACTGCCAGGGTAAGCATAATGAACGTACTGGGGGTCAGCTTGACTAGAAGACAACCTGAGAAGTTCTCAGAGAAAAGGGCAGGTATGGAAGTTCGTACAGTGAAATTCATTTTCTTTGTTGAAGTGGCTCCCTTGAGCGCCTCTGCCAGGCAGTGCTGTACTCACTCACATTTGGTCTCCTTGCTCTATCCCTGACTGGAAGATTTGGTCTAACAGGACAGGCAAACCACCCTCCAAAGGGGAGAGAAAACAGGTTAGTGCCTCACTTCTCTCTACCACTGAATGCCAACAGTTAAGGCAGATCTGAAGTATCAGATAAAAGGACTGGGGCAAAAAGACTAATAAGCCAAGAGTCCACAGAAGTAAGGACAGTGGGAACATCAAAAAGCCGTTATGGGCTAGGACACAGCTCAGCAGTAGAGCAGTTGCCTGGCATGTGTGAGGCCCTGGATTCCATCCACAACATGGAGGGGGCGGAAGCTGTAAATATATAAATACTATTCCAGGAAAAAAGGCCTTACCTGTTTATGTTGGTTAAAAAAAATTAAAACGAACATTGAACTCAAGAACCTAGAAAGTGAGCTGGGAGACAACTCAGTGTGCACTAACCATATATAAGGCCCTGGGTTAGTCCCTAGCAACAAGGGGCTGAGCAAAAAAGAACAGAACCTAGAGGAAAGCTGATGATACAGGCCTATAATTCCAGCACTCTAGAAGCTGAGACAGGAGGATTACAAATGCAGGCTTCCTGGGCTACATAGTGAGAACTTATCTCAAAAAAATCAAAAATGTAGGAAAAAGCTATAAAATGCGTATAAGGAAAGTAGAAAAGGGGAAATCAAAAATAAAGGAGAAATTAATGAGAAAGTAATTTTTTAAAGACCATTAAAATACATATTCCATGTTCTACAGAAAATAAAAGAATACAGATAATGAACAGTATGAACAAGATAAAAGTTATATATCTTTTTTATAATATTATTTTATTATTTTTATTTTATGTATATGAGTGTATTACCTGCATGTAAGTAAGTGCACCCATGTCATACAGTGCCCAGCGGAGGACAGAAGGGGCCATCGGATCCCCTGGAACTGGAGTTACAGACAGTTGTTAGCTGCCACATGGGTGCTGGGATTTGAACCCAGGTCTTCTGTAAGAACAACCAGTGTTCTTAACTGCTGAGCCATCTCTCCAGCCCCAAAAGTTATATATCTTTATTAACATACACAAGGATAACATACATATAAACTTAAATTGAAATGAACTCAAAATCTCTGAAAAATATCATTTTCAAAGGAAACAAATTGCTAAAACTATTTCAAGAGAAGAGAAACTGACATGGATCTATAGTATGGCAGTTGGTGAACTGCTTCTAGAACCAGGCAGGAGGCCAAGTCAAATTAAAGACCAGCTTAATTCACCCTGGAGAAGTAGAATGTCTCTATCAGTAAAACTTCTACAGAACATTATGAAAGGCTAGAGAATAAGGAAGCTCTCAGCTCGGCAAGCTATAGACCTCACCACTTAGAGGTATAGATGCTAAAATATTAAATAGAATCCGGCTGTGTACTAAAGCAGTAACAGGAAAGAGCAAGTAGCCTTGTTCCAGAACCTGGTGTGCCCCTCTGTCTCCTACTACAGTTCATCACATCTGTAAGCAGACTGCTGAGGTCTTATTTCAGTGGGTGCTGAGACAGCACCAGTGCTTCTGAAACTTCAGTAGTCTAATAACTGAAACTGGACAGACAGGCTCTGCTTTTGACTCTTCCTCCACTATATGGGTTCCAGGGATCAAACTCAGGTCAGGCCCAACAGCAAGCAGCCCTACCTACTGAGTTATTTCACCAACCCTTTCCACCTTGGTTTTGGTTTTGAGACAGGGTCTCATCCCTCCATTTTGAAAAATTAATAAGATTTACATATCTGACAACAGTAATTCCAGAAGTTCAGCATGTAAATATAGTCAGTGTGGGTGGCACATGCTGGAAGGTGAGAACAGCAAGAAGATCAGGAATTCAAGGCCAACCTCTTGAGCCCACAGGAGACCGTGGAGGGGAGAGGGGGAGAAGAGAGGAGACAAATGTCAAAATGATGGTAATTACTAATAGAATGGAAGCTAAAAGGTTGATGTCCTTATTATAGGAAGAGATCCTCTCGTAAGTCAGGAAGGAAAGTCAATCACTTGAGTAGAAAAATGGACTACAAGCTTGAAAAGATAGTTAAGAAAAATAGGTGGCCTAGTATGTCACGATATATATTTTTTTAATATAAGATGCTCGTTTTCCCTCTCAAATTGTACTCAGGAGGCAGAAGCAGACAGATTGTGAGTTCAAGGCCAGCCTGGTCTACATAGTGAGTTCCAGGCCAGCCAGGGCTACATAGTGAGACCGTCTCAAAAAAAAAAAAAAAAAAACAAATGAATGGAAAGAGAGCATGAGTGATGGTGAGATATGGCAGAATGTCCTAAGAAATACTGTTTGCATTTTTTTTTAAGCAGTATTGACTGGAAGATAGCCACATTGTTAACATGGAATAGTGTTGCCACATCAGGCCACACCCTACCCTGTCCTTCTCAGGCTGAGGGCAAGCAAACCAAACACTCACAACTGCGTGAGTAGGGTGCAGGAGAGAGGCTGGGCAGGGCCTGAGGAGGTACCACTGAACCCATCCTTAAAGGTTCGATGTGCCAGAGGGAAAAGATGCTGCAAGCAGCAGGCAAAGGGTGGTCGTCCTGGCTTGAGCACAGTGCAGAAGGACAGGAATGGCTGGACCACACAGGGTTTGGGCTGCCTTGGAAAGTAGCCGGAGGTCATTTGTGACACAGACTGTGAGGTACAGATTGTATAATTGGAACACTCTAGAGAAAATCAATTCCTAATTCCTGGGGGCCTTTTTCTGAGCCAGCATACCTTGAGAAGCTTCCTACCCTTTGCCCCCTGGTTTTCATCTGTGTAGTGGGGTACCTGAGAGTCTCATCACCAGCATTGAATGAGGCAAGGCATGATGTAGACACGCAGGTTGAGCAGCTTTGATTAGATCTCCTTGCATATGCAAGGAGTAGCAGTGCTTAGGCTCTGTGTCTAGTGTGTGTAGGTGCTGACTGTGACCTTGATTGTAATGATCTGCTTATGATCTGGTCCCTTTTTGAAGAGATGGTATGGGTGTTTATAAATCATTTTGTATGTTAGTCTAGCCCCTTAAGCAATTCCATTAACTTTTTTTTTTTTTTTTTTTTTTTTTTTTTTGAGACAGGTGTTCCCCCACCCCGCCCGCCCTCCATTAATTTTTTTTTGTTTAAAACTTGCATCAGATAGACTAAAGACTTTCTTATTAACTTTTTTTTTTTTTTTTTTGGTCTTTTTGAGACAGGGTCTCGCACACCACGCCCGGCCTCCATTAATATTTTATATGATATTTTCTCTTTTTAAAATGTTCCTTGACCCTCTGCTTATTAAAGAGACTATATTACTATAGGCAATAAAGAATTTGTTTTGTTAAACTTAGTTTTCTCATGGAACTTTCCAAACATACAAAAATAGCACGTGGTACAGTGACATCCCTTACCTGACCAAGTCCTCAGCACCAGCTTCAGCAGTCAGCCCCTGGCTGTGAGTTCTGTATCTTCGTCCCTTACTCACAGACTCTGCTGAGGCAAATCTTCATCATCAAAGCATTAGCATAGAAGTCCTGGTTGTACCATGAAAGATTGGGACTTTGATTAGTATTTGATCAGTCTTATGAAGCACAGGCTGCTGTGTTTCTAGGCATAGGAGTTTCTGCAGACACCACAGCAACATAAGGCACAGCTCTCAGTGCTGCTTACCGGGTATGGCATGGAAGTCCACCCTCCTGGGTCTTGGGCATTAATTGGGGTATGTGTCACAGACCTGGGTCTACTTCATACCACATGGGGGTATGGAACATCAAGCTCTAAGTTGGGGAGACTGTCAACCCAGCAGCCCTGTGAAGCTGAGAGAGCCAAGGGAAAAGTCACTGTAATAAGTCACAACATAGCTATAACATGCATATGTTTCCCACAATCCACTTCACTTTCAAAGCCAGATGGTTTACAGTGTACTGGAAATTTTCCTTCATTGTGGCTTCCATGGATGTCTCATGAATGAAGACCATAGTGTCTGACTGTATCCAAGTGGCTGTCAGGAGCCACTCACTACAGTGAGTGACAAGGAACTTGGTGATGCCAAATGGGTGAGAGCGGAAGACTTTCTCTTTTAGGGCTTTTATATTTCTCTAAAATAAGGGTTTAAAATGTTCTGGGGGCAAGGATTGTACCACCTAAATTGTTGTTATATTAAGCTTGAAATTTTCTTGGTAGGTATAGAGTGTGATCTGACATGATGCTTGTTGTGTTATCTGAACAAAGAAATGAATTCTGTGACTTCTTTTTAGGCTTGTAAGAAAAATATTTTTAATGTAGTTGGACAATTTTTAGATACTGTTTTATAGTGGAATCATATAATATGCCTACTCATACAAATACAGCTACACGCCATGTTCTACAAATGGTTTTTACAAAGAAAAATGAGGCAATCTGGTCTATGTAGTGAGTCCCAGGCCAGCCAGGGTTGTATAGTTCAACCCTGTCTCCAAAAGAAATGAGAAGAAGATAAATGATGGGCAGGCAAGATGGCTCAGGGGCTAAGGGCACCTGCCACCGAGCCTGCCAGCCTGAGTTCAATGGTGGAAGGAAAGAACCAACTCCACAAGTTGCCCTTTGACCTCCACAATGCACACATAATAAATACACATGAAGTGTTTTTATTTTTTAAAAAAAAAAAAAAAGAAAGAAAGAAAGAAAAGAAAGAAAAAGAAAAATGGCAAAAATTGACCATTTAAAATGGAGATAACCCCTTCCCATGCTCAGCTGGTATGTTTCTGCTATAGCACCACTGCTGTGGCTGCAGTCTCAGCTTGCCTCCAGTTCTCGTGGTGAGCTGCCTGTGCTGGGCGTGGTTCAGGGACACATCCCAGCCTGCCCACTACTGGGAGCATTTAAACAGGACTCTTTTGACACTGCAACATCCATCCTGCCAATAGAACCCCCCACATAGGATGTGCCTCCACTGCAAATGCCACCTTCCCAACCACCATTGCTCTGTAGGTGGTGGTGCCTGTGACGATGTCTGCACTCTACGTCTGGTTGCCTAAAAATGTGTCGCACTTCTCACCTTTTCCCAATAGCTTCATTTGCTCCAATAAGCTTTGCGATCAAGGCCAAAGAAAATGATCTACTTCCCCTGGAAAAAAACCGAGTTAAGCTGGATGATGATAGTGAAGAAGATGAAGAAAGCAGGGAATGCCAGGAAAGTTCAAGCAGCGTGGCCAACCCCAGCCCAGCTGCAGCCCCGCCCTGTGTGGTTGTGGAGGAGAAGAGGCCCCAGCTTACCCAGGAGGAACTGGAAGCAAAGCAAGGTTTGTCGATAGCTTTTAAAGTTCTCAAAAGAAAGAAGACAGAAATATAAGATTAATATGCTAAGCCAGAAATTCTAAGACTGCGAACTAGAGCCTGGAGCCATTCAGGAACACTCGGAAAACTCTATGCACAGCTCTGTGCAGCGCTGTGCTCTCCTTAGCTTGATGCAGTGCCTTTGACAATCTGTTCTCAGAGCAGCCTAATGTGCTAAGTGGGCAGCTCTAATGGAGGCGCACTTTATACTTGGACGACAGCCCCAGGGTAAGACACCCAGCCTGGACTCTGAGCTCAGGTTAATGCACCAAACTGGGAGAGGCCCTTTTGTGAGAATGTCTCTCAGCAGAACCATCAGCCCTTGAAGATGTGTGCCCGAGCTGATTCTTGGCCCTGGTTCATCTTCATGGGTCACAGCATGGCCAGCAGCACATGGGGGACTGAGACTGAGACTGAGACTGGTAGAATGCTTACCTAACTATTATAGGACATCTTCATTTGCTCCAAAATAAGTTGTATTCTGCAGTGGGTGGTTAGTTACTAAATGCATTTGGTGTTTGTTTGTTTGTTTGTTTGATGTGTATGAGTGTTTTTTGCCTTCATGTAAGTGCAACACATGCATGCACTGCCTGTGGAGACCAGAAGAAAGCATCGAATCCCCTGGAACTGGAGTTACAGATGGTTGTTAGGGGCCATGTGGGTGCTGGGAAGTGAACTCAGGTCCTCTGCAAGAACAGCCAGTTCTCTTAACTACTGAGGCCCCTATGAATACATTTGTGGTCTTACTTGTTCTAACTGGTTTTCTTAGATTACTTTTTCTGGGTGTGTAGGAACAGACCAAGTAACACTGATTAAAGGAAGCTTTTCAGCCAGTATGCCTTCCTGACAAGAACATGCCATGGGCCACAACTCTTCTCTCTAAGTGTACTTATGTTCACACACATGAGATCGAATCTGCACTTCCTGTGTATGAGTGCAGCAGTTTGTCAGGTCCTCTGGAATAAGATACTTTTCACAGGGCATCTATCGTCAACTCACAGGTTTTGGAAGCATACAAAAGCCATACTGCAGTTCCCATTACCCAGCTTCCACCAGCATGGAATCCTGTCAGCCTGCTGGCTTTGAAAGTAAAGCATCTCTCCCCCAGAAAAAGGCATTATGAGCTTATTTTCTCAAACTTTGATCTAATGTCCTAGAAGTCTACCTGTTCTGAAGTTTGTATTGAAATTATAGCATTATATGGCCCTTCTGATGCTGTGAAAATTAAGGTAACAAGGTAAATGTTACTTTCTGTAGACTCCACTTTTTTTTTTTGTTATTCTTTAGCAAAACAAAAGCTGGAAGACCGCCTTGCAGCTGCTGCTCGGGAGAAGCTGGCTCAAGCTTCCAAGGAATCCAAGGAGAAGCAACTTCAGGCTGAACGGAAAAGGAAAGCAGCTTTGTTTTTACAAACCCTAAAGAATCCTCTGCCAGAAGCAGAAGTTGGAAAACTTGAGGAGAGTGCTTTCAGTGTAGAGGTATGTAGAAGGAGTCCCCATGGTACCCTTGGGGTCTGTAGCTCCCCTTTCATGGAATCCTGAGTCAGATGCTAGCAGCCCAGCTTGTGCCTCCAGCTTTGGTCACAGGCTTTGCTAATAACTATGAGTCTAAGAAATTAGTGTCAGTTACCCCATAAATGCATGTGCACTGGGTACACCAAATACAGACTACCCTCTCAGAACACAGAGCCATGGGTCTCAGCCATGAACCTCTGTTCATGACCACCCAACGGGGAGCCTATAGTAGAATCTGGTCAGACAGACATGGCTAGAGCAGAGCCTCAGTGACAGCAGCCATGTTGCTGAGCTCACATTAGGGGCAGAGATCCCAGTACCAGTGCTTGTGTCCATATCATATTGTAATTTAAAAGGTAAAATGCAAGCCGGCGGATCTCTATGAGTTCAAGGCCAGCCTGATCTACATAGTGAGTTCCAGGACAGCTGGGGCTACAGGGAGACCCTGTCTCAAAAAGACCAAAAAAAAGGTAAAATGCAGTCACCCTTGTGTTAAGGTTAAGAGGGGATCTGGGGATATAGCTCTTTGGTAGAACAATCACCTAATAATGTGTGGGAGACCCTAGGTTCATCCTCAGCAGCAAAATAAAAAGAGGTCATGGAGAGCCCAAACAGGCTCATGGTGGCCTTGAACAGGATCCTGACAGATGTGGAAGATTTGAAGCAATGCCTAAGACCAGAAGCCCTCAGTAAATGCTGGTGCTGTTGGTAGGGGCAGTGTATCATGACAGTCTGAACTCAGTGAAGAAGCTTAGGGCCAAGTGCACAGCAAGCAAATACTGTACTGAGCTGCACCTCTAACTCCAAATTTCTTCTTCTTAAGCTCTTTTTTTGGTAGTGGGGGAGGTCCTTTTTGTGACAGGGCCTCTCTGCAGCCCCAACTGGCCTGGAACTCAACGGAGATCCACCTGCCTCTGCCTCCTGAGTGCTGGGATTAAAGGCATGCCCAACTGAAGTTTTCTTTTTTAAAAAATATTTTATTAATTATTTTTATTTTATGTGTATGAGTGTATTGCCTACATGTGTATAAGTGCACCCGTGTTGTGCAATGCCCACAGAGGTCAGAAGAAGGCATCAGATTCCTCTGAAACTGGAGTTATAGATGGTTGTTAGCCACCATGTGGGAGCTGGGAATCAAACCTAGGTCTTCTGCAAGAGCAGTCAGTGCTCTTACCACTGAGCCATTTCTCCAGCCCAAAGTTTTCTTTTTTAAAAAAATTAGTTTATTTGGAATTGGAGAGAGAGCTCAGTGGCTAAGAGCACTGGCTGTTCTTTCAGAGGACCTGGGTTTGATTCCCAGCACCCACATGGCCTCTAACAGCCGTCAGTAACTCTAGTCCCAGGAAATTCAACGCCCTATTCTGACTTCCCCGAGCACTGCACGATATGGGTACACTTAGACACATGCAAGCAATACACTCATACACGTAAAATAAAGATAATAAAATAAAAAATTTTGTTTTTATTATATATGTACAGGTGTTTTGCCTGCATGTTTGTAAATACACTTACACCATGTAATGCCCTTGGAGGCCAAAAGAGGACGTCAGATCCCCTGGAACTGAGTTATACCCAGTTGTGAGCTACCATATGAGTGCTGAACCTAGGTCCTCTGCAAGAGCAGCCAGTGCTTTTAACCAATGAACTATGTCTCCAGCCCCCTCTTTTTAAACTCTTGATAGCAGATCTCTCTTAAGAGTTTTGTTTTGGGTTTAAAATATACTTCAGGAGCCTGAAGAGATGAATTAACAGTTAAAGCACTGACTAGCCGGGCCTGGTGGAACACACCTTTAATACAAGCACTCAGGAGGAGTTCGAGGCCAGCCTGGTCTCCATAGTGAATCCAGGACAGCTGGGGCTGCAGGGAGACCCTGTCTCAAAAAGACCAAAAAAAAAGCACTGACTGTTCTTGCAGAGGACCCAGGTTTGGTTCTCAGCATCCACATGGTAGCCAACAACCATCTGTAACTCCAAATCTAGGGGATCCGACAGCCTCTTCTGACCTCTGTGAGCATTATACAACATGGGTGTACTTACATGCATACAGGCATTACACTCAGACACGTAAATTAAATAATTGAAATATTACACACACACACACACACTTCAGGGCTGGGCATAATGGTGCACACCTTTAATACCAGCACTCAAGATGCAGAGGCAGGCTGAGCTATGAGATTGATGCCAGCCTGGTTTACTTGGTGAGTTCCAGGCCAACTAGGGCTACAGGGAGACCATCTCAGAAATAAAAATAAAATATACTTCAGGCATATCTAAGAATACTTTGACAAGTTCAAGAATGTTTTAGAAACATAAGTTTTTAAAGTAAGGAATCTAATAGTGCAGCAAAGACATTGAGACTTGGAGTAGAGTTATCTCTGTGTCAGTGTTCTGACCCTGCTAGGCTACAGACCCACACAGCAGCTAGGGAGTTGTGACTCTTAAGAGCAGATAAAAGTGGTTATTTAAGAATGTCAGCACTAGGGAAGCAGAGGCTAGGGGAGCTCTTATGAGGTCAGCCTAGTCTACATGGAGAATTTGAGGCCAGCCAGTGCTACATAGTGAAACCCTGTCTCAAGAAAATAAACAATCTTTCCCAGAAAGATATATTGGCTCATGGCAGTAAACGTCACACTTAGGAGGCTGAGGCAGGATGATTGCCACAAGTTTGAGATCAGCCTGTTTCAAAAATGATTTTTTTCCTCTTCCTAAAATCTGATTTGAAAAATAAAATTCGTCCATATGTTGTAACACATGCCTTTAATCCTAGCACTTCGGAGGCAGAAGTAGGCAGATCTCTCTGAGAGTTCCAGGCCAATTGAATAGTGAGGCTCTATCTCAAACAAAAAACAACAAAAAGATGGGGACTGGAGAAATGGTTAAGTACTACTTTTGCAGAGAACCTGAGTTCATTTTCCACCATGGACAGCTGACAACCACCTGTAACTCCAGCTTCTGCTTCAGGGGATTTGACATCTTTTGGAGGTGCACACAGAAACATTTTATATATATATATATATATAATATATATATGAAACTTCTCAGGCATGGTGGGGGAGATACCTGTAATTCCAGGACTTGGGAGATATAAGCAAAAGAACCGCAAGGACAAAAACAAGAGTAAGAGTAACTCTAGGAGCGTCATACCTTGAGAAAAACTGAAAGAAGACCTATGACCCACTGCACCCTCAACCAACCATATATGCTCTGGCTTGCACACTGGCTTATTCTGTTTTCCCTGAATCATCTGCATTAATTTTTTTTCCAGTGCTGAGGATCAAATGTAGAGTCTTGTGCATACTAGACAAGCACTTTACCACTGAGCCACATCTTCAACCCTCTGAACCATCTGAAGGCTATTTTCAAACATGTTCTCAGCTGTCTCTGAGTACTCTAACCTATGTCTTCTATAGTGAGTATGTCCCACAGTGAAGGACCATCTCCTAGGAACTATGGTACCAACCACAGACACTGATCACTATGTTTCCCACCAGCTTGCAGCCGTGGAGTCCCCAAATATATTTTGTGCCTGGCTTTCCCTCAAAATGTAGGACAGACCCTTTGCTCTGTTCTGCTATTGTTGGAGAATAAAGGGGGCCGACTTGGAACTCACATCAATCTTCTTACCTTAGCCTCTCAAGTTCAGAGATTACAGGCCTCTGCCACCACAGCCCCTTCACTCTTTTGACTTTAATTACATTGGTACTTCTGTGTGCCCCAGGTCATCATTCCAGCTCATTCTCCATACATCCCACTTGGCTGATCTATTTTGTGAAAGCAGTGCTAAGAGTTCAGAGTTGAACCTTTCCTAATGGTCCAGGCAGTCTGAAATACACACACACAGACACACCCCCGGCAAGGTGAGAAAACAGGAAGAACTGTGAGAATGGTTGTAGAGTCTGCAGTGTGTGTTGGGCTAAAGACTGCTCCCCACTTCCTCGTGACCACACCTGCTTTCAATGTCTACCCTGCACATTGTTACTGATTCTCTTAGGCTGACCTCAGCACTACCCTTCCCAGAGTGCAGCTTTCAGGGAGGTGGTAGAAGGAACCAACAGCCCTGCTGGGACACAGTCACCCATTTTCCAGAGCCCCACAGATGAGCCATCTCCTAGCCTTTCAGAGTAATGGAGGCACAAAACGCATGTAGATGAGAGTAGTCGTGAGGCACTGTGACCACAAGGGCCGTGCCTTTGATGTAGTGATGCATTGAGGGTTATAGAACACTAGCTCTGCTGTACCCTTATAGCTATGGAAAAATATGGACAGCAAGGAGAAATCTTAAACAGAGGAGGCCCGCCTGGGTGAGGATGCATGGAGATTGGTTGAATCTCCCTTATTGTTTCACTGTCAAGTGTGAATATAGGTTCATTAAGACACATCTGTACAGGGACTAGAGCAATGGCTCAGCTGTTAAGAGCACTGGTTGCTCTTGCAAAGGACCCAGGTTCTAAAAAGACACATCTATACGGCTGGGATGTAGCTCAATTGGTAGAGTGTTTGCCTGGCATGCACAAGGCTCTGGGTTTAATCCCCAAAATCATATAACCTGAGTGTATTGTCACACCCGCATAATCCCAGCACTTTGGTGGTAGAGGCAGGAGGTTCCAAAGTTCCAGGTAATCCTTGGCTGTGGCAAATTTGAGGCCAACCTAGGCCACATGAGACCTTGCCTCAAAAAAGAAGATTCAGTGGTGGGTAGAGGTGTTTGCCACCAAGCCCAATAAACCTGAGTTTGATCTCCAAGACCCATATGGTTGGAGGAGAGAACTGACTCCTATAGTTGTTCTCTGAGCTGAGACACACACAGACACAGACACACACACAGACACACACACACACACACACACACACACACACAAAAGAAAGGAAGACAGCATTTTGTTTTGTTTGATCTTTTTTTGACACAGGGTCTCCCTGTAGCCCCAGCTGGCCTGGAGCTCATTATGTAGACTAGTCTGGCC